TTCCTTCCTTCCTTCCTTCCTTCCTTCCTTCCTTCCTTCCTTCCTTCCTTCCTTCCTTCCTTCCCTCCTGTCCCACTCCCTCCCTCTTTCTCTCTCCCCCTCCCGCCTTCCTTCCTTCCTTTCTGTCTCTTTCTCTCTCCCTCTCTTTCTTTCTCTCCCTCCCTTCCTCCCTATTGCTTCCTGTCTCCCCTCTTTTTCTCCCTCCCTCTTTTTTCTTTCTTTCCCTTTCTCTCTTTCTCTCCCCCCTCTTTCTTTCTATCCCCTTTTCTGTCTTCCTCCTTTCCTTCCTTCCTTCCTTCCTTCCTTCCTTCCTTCCTTCCTTCCTTCCTTCCTGTCATTCCTTCACTTTTCTCTATCCCTTTATTTCTTTCTCTCCCTCCCTCCCTCTTTTTTTCTTTCTTTCCCTTTCTCCCTTTCTCTCCCCCCCTCTTTCTTTCTATCCCCTTTCCTTCCTTCCTTCCTTCCTTCCTTCCTTCCTTCCTTCCTTCCTTCCTTCCTTCCTTCCTTCCTTCCTTCCTGTCATTCTTTCACTCTCTCTCTTTCTCTATCCCTCTATTTCTTTCTCTCCCTCCCTCCCTATTCTTTCTTCCTCTCGCTCCCTCTCTCTCTCTCTCCCTCCCTCCCTCTTTTTTTCTTTCTTTCCCTTTCTTTCCCTTTCTCTCTCTCTCCCCCTCTCTTTCCCTCCCTCCCTATTCCTTCCTTTCTCCCTCCCTCCCTCCCTCCCTCCCTGCCTGCCCTGGAGCAGAAAGGGCGCCTGGTCAGTCACACCCAGGATTTCCCCCTTTCTCTGAGCTCTCCTCCCTCTGCCTGCCTGTGCTACAGGGCTGACCCACGTCGAGGCCACTGTCAACGCCCTGATAGACATCCTCCACGGATACTGCATCTGCGAGCTGGACTGCATCAACGTCGCCTCCAAAATCTACATGCAGATGTTGCTGTGCCCGGTACGTTGTTTCCTGGCTGCGTCTCCTGGGGGTCCGTCCCCAAACAACCAGGGCACCCTCCGTGTGTCTTTGCAGAAGGGCAGAGCGTGGCCCCCTCCTCCCCACTCAGCGGGGAGGCTGACCGAGGGAGGACCCCAGAGGGAGCCGCAGGAGAGGCCTGGCTTGTCTCTTGCTCCCTCGGCTGCTGGTTAGCTGTGGTGGGGAGCGTCCAAACCATGTGGGAATCGGCAGCCTGGTAACAATCCCACCCGTAGGAGGAGTAGAGCAGGAAGGACCATCTCCTCCTCCTCCTCCTGCAGCGCCCAAGAGAAGGGAGGCCAAAAGCTCCGAGAACTCAGCAGTCTCTGCTAGTCAAACCCTCCTGTGGCTGCATGGCCCGCATTCCCTGCTGGGTGTCAGCTCCCATAATCCCCAACCAGAAAGCCGCCAATCTGAGCCGGACGGAACCGCTGCTCGCTCCTTCCTGTTTATTCAAGAGTTTTTGCAAGTGTTAAGTTCAGCGCCAGAAAAATAAACACAGGTGGCTGAGGCTTCACGTAACGTCTTTATAAACATACGAAATAAATTTTACAATACCAGTTGTAGATTTCTCCCAACACGGAGCAAACTCAGACAGAAACACGTCGCAAGTTCAGAGCAGAGCTCCGGTCTTCAGCAAGCAAGTCAGTGTCTCTTTTACTTCAGTTCTGCAGGCAAGTAAGAGGAGAGAAGCGGTTTCATCTTCAATAGACAGAGCTTCACATAGCTGCAGAGTTGCAGAGCTGAAGAAAGAGAGCCACGCCTAGGCTGCTAATTTAGTTTCAGTTTCCAAACTGTCCTCATTGTCCGACTTAGTTGCTATGCCTTGCAACCAAGCTCTATTCCGGCTCACGAATATACTCTTGACACCGTTTGCCCTCCATCGTCCAGGCAAGGAAGAGCCAAGATTCTTAGGCTGCACCTGTGAACCGACCCAAAGTTTAGCTAGGTCTGAACAGCGTGTGAATGCGGCGAGAAGGTTCCTCCGGAGGGCTGTCCCTCCGATCTTTTCGGGCAGAGAGCCGGAAGCTGGTCCCCCCTTGAGAGTTCGTTCCTGGCCCCTCCCCTCCCCTCCCCTTTTCTGATTGGCTGCTTTGCCTTCCAGGATCCGGCTGTCAGCTTCTCTTGCAAGCAAGCGCTGATCCGGGTGCTGAGGCCCAGGAACAAGAGGAGACACGTGACCTTGCCCTCTTCCCCTCGGAGCAACACCCCCATGGGTAAGGGGAGGCGGCTCTGTTTCGGTCGCCCTGGGGCCACGGGGAACCTCGGGGGGAAGCCCCACCAGGGAGGGTGTCCCAGCCCTTTGAGGAGACCCCAGGAGCACCTCTTCATCCTCTGGAGGGTCACCTCTCCTTGGTGGGACTGGAGAAGTTGCCTTGCCCCGTCTGTTCTCTCTTTCTGTTTTCTCTTTCTCTCTCTTTCTCTTCCTCTCTTTCTCTTTCTCTCCCTCCCTCCCCCCCTCTCTCTCTTTCTCTTCCTCTCTCCCCCTTCCCTCCTCCTTCCCTCCCTCTTTCTTTCTCTTTCTCTCCCTGTGTCTCCCTCTCTTTCTTTCTCTCTCTTTCTGTTTCTCTTTCTTTTTTTCTCTTTCTCTTCCTCTCTCTTTTTCTTCTTCTTACTCTCCCTCCCTCTTTCTCTTCCTCTCTTTCTCTCCCTCCCTCCCCCTCTCTTTCTCTTCCTCTCTCCCCCTCTCTCCTCCTTCCCTCCCTCTTTCTTTCTCTTTCTCTCCCTCTGTCTCTCTTTCTTTCTCTTTTTCTTTCTCTTTTTCTCTTTCTCTTCCTCTCTTTCTTCTTCTTACTCTCCCTCCCTCCCTCTCTTTCTTTCTCTCTCTTTCTCTTCCTCTCTCTTTCTTTCTCTTGTTCTCTTTCTCTTTTTTCTTACTTTCTCTTTCCCTCTCTCTTTCTCTTTCTCTCTCTTTCTCTTTCTCTTCCTCTCTCTCTCTTTTTTCTCTTTCTCTTCCTCTTTTTCTTTCTCTCTCTCTTTCTCTTTCTCTTCCTCTCCCGCCCTCTCTCTCACTCCCCCCACCTCTCTCACTCCCTCCTTCCCTCCCTCTTTCTCTCCCTCTCTTTTTTCTCTTCCTCTCTCTCTTTCTTTCTCTCCCAGTCTTTCTTTCTTTCTTTCTTTCTTTCTTTCTTTCTTTCTTTCTTTCT